GAAATCCAATCCAAAATGAACTGCACAGACCATGGGATCGTTAAGGCGCCTCGATTCGACTGGATTGCTGATGACCAGGCATAGAGCGGCCCAAGAAGCGGCCTTTCCCATGGGAGGGCCAAGGCAGCAAAGCCAAGTCTCCCTAGCCCAGCTGAAAATTCTCTGTACTCCACCTCCTTGCGAAGCCTCAGGGAACCTATCCAATCAATGAGCCACCCTGCCCTTCTCTCTGAGAGCCCCATCGAGAAGGTCCGATAGTCCGTCGTGAGCCCAATCCATTCTGACGTGAGCCCACCTCTCTGCTTTGCCCATTTGAAAGGCGCCCCCAACGCAGCCATGAGGGAGAATGCCAGAACAGCGCCAACTCGCCCTTCACGGCCAACCGCCAATACCTCCAGGTCATCCGCGTACAGCAACATGTCGTCAGGGAAACTATCCCCCAACACCCAGTATACTGTCCTCATCAATGCTGCGCTGAGCCTAGCCCACCAATAAGGCGTTGATGCCACACCAAACGTGCCAACCTGATTGATGTAGACCGTCTCTGAAGTCGACGAGGCCTTGCACGCCAAAAAGCCCTGCTCTTCACCAGCGTACTTGAACCTCCGGTGGGCTTTTGCAAAATCCCCCACCAGAGACAGGATCACCTGCCTGCCTGCCTCATACTCTTCAAGGAGGGCCCTCTTCTCACGAGGCCCCGGCATCCGAACTTTGTCCCTGCATTTGATCCGATGATTGACCATGACTCCGTGCGTTCCATCATGGATGACTCTCTTCTTGCCCGTGAGCTCGTCTTCAACCAACACTGCAAGGGCTGCCACTGCCCTGTTCTCGCCAAAGGCCTCAATGAACTCACTCTCTTTCATCTTGATCATGAGGCCCTCCGACACCTCCTGTTCCAGGTGTTCCACTAGGTACCTCTCGTGCTCAGCTGCCGACGAGTAGTTCTCCTTCTGCAAGACTGCATCGCTGCCCACTTCGCCCTCCAAGTTCCACTTCACCTGCTCCTCAAAGATCGATGGCGTCCTTGGGAGGTCACTCAGCACCCCAAGCGGGAGCCCAGTCTTGGCTTGCTCCAAGAAACCACTGTCCGGATCCCCCGCCTTCTCAAGGATGCCCTTCATGAGGTCCAGAAAGAAAGGTTGCCCAGCCTCTGGGGTATCTTGTGCCGCAATGCCCAGCCTCTCCGACAAAATTGACCTGATCTCCTTCAAAAAGCTATCATCTCTGACCAGTTGAAAGGCGTCACCGCCTCTCGCCATCCTGAAGGCCTCCTTCTCCACTTCCGCCATACTGCCCAGGCGCCTAACGGCAGCAAGACGAAACTGGTGCCTCACAGCCACCCATTCCTTGCCCTCCAGGTTCTTTCTCTCTTGCGGCACCCACCTTCCAGGCGAAGCCAGTCCTCCTCCATCATGGAATGGCGCCTCAAGCCCCTTCCACCTGCACGAGCGCGGATGCCCTCGCCCCCCCGGGACCGGCGGGTCCATGGGGTCCACCACCAATTTCTCCTCCTTCCGGGGCTCTGTCTTCAGACGTTTTTCCGCCTCTTCTTGGCCCCCATTCATTGCCTCCAGACCCCTCTTCGAAGGTGCCCTTGATGATGTCTTTGATGAAGTGGAAATATCCTCACCCCCCCCCCCATGCACTCGTTCAAGTAGGAGGTGAGGATCGCTTCTGCAGTCCACTTGCAAAGTGCTGGCGGCCATGCGGCCGACTGCGCCGTCCGGAAAACCCCATTGGCCTTTCCGATCAGGGGGGCGCCCCCTGATTGCCTGGGGAGCGGACCCATGTACCACCCTTGGTCATCAAACTGTGGAGGCCCTGTATGCATTGCAGGATGTAAAGGAGCAAATATACGCAGTAAAAATCTTGTAGGTTTTGGCGATGCTGTCCCAAACTCCGATTGTGCAAAAACTACCGTCTGAACATCGTGCATCTTCAAGATCTCTGCAAACTGCCAGAACTGCCACATGGACGCCGGCTGGTGTCCTGGCACACGCTCATTGCTTGTTCTGCCGAGGTCCTCGGGTTGCTCCATCAATCCAACTCTCTGTTTGCATGCAAATTGACGCTTCAATGCTTCAAAGGAGAAGTCTGCCAACACTGTACCAAATTCTGCTTTGTGAAACCGCTCTGCCCTGTTCCAGGGAAAACCTCGTGGATAAACCGAGCTCCTCAATGGGAAAGGCCCCAAATCATTCGCCCAGACCGCTCTGGAAAAGGTGGAGCAAGGCGGTGTAACTATGACGGCATAGAAAATGCCTTGGGCAATCCTCTGCAGCCATTTTTTCTGTACCGAAGGAATTGTGAAGTCCGACCGTCGATCAGCTTGAATATCCAGCTCCGTGATCTCCACTCGGACATTCTTTCGTGGTGCAAGCCTCCGGAGGAATCCAGCAACTGAATTGCGCCGCTTCCGCCCTGAGAAAACGTAAAGGACCCTCAATACTCCTCACTTTGACCCATCTGTGTCGGGTGCTGTTGCTTCCTTTCTGTTCTTTGGATTGCATTCGTAAAGAGGGTGCTTGTCACTGTAGCAAATTCCGCACACATGCCGATATTTGCATTTGCTCATCTTGCATTTCTCACCTGGAGTGTTGTATCTAAAGCAGATCAACTCACCATCTGGTGTGTGTGTGTTGCACAATGACTGCTGCTTCCTCTGCCTTTGCCCTTCTTCCCCTTGCCCTTTTCCTTGCCCTTTCCACCCTTGTCCGTGGCGGGCCACTTCTGTGCCGGCTGCTCACGCCATGGAGGCAGCGGCCGCTTGGCGTACAGGGCAAGTGGCGTCGTGAAGTTCCTCTCTTTCACTGTTGCATCCTTCCAGGCCATCTTGAGCGCCACTGTCAATGGCTTGCCCTCTGTATTCGTGAGCTTCACCGCCTGCTTGCGAATGGCCTTCTCATAGGCAATGACTAACTTCCAGGGTGGTGCAGCAAAGGTCTGACCCTCAGCGTCTTTTGCACTGAGACCGTACACATAGTCCCCCAACAAGTAGTCCTTGTACTGCTCAACCGTCTCCTCCCAAGCCCCTTGAAGCTCATGCCGATTGGAATGCTTCAGGGAAATCATAACCATGGCATTCTTCCAAATGCTCAGCCGCCGCCGAAGTTCTTCAGCGTTCGCTGGCTCGGGCACTTTTGTCGAGGCTTTGCGCATGGCCAGGCGGCCCTTGGAGTCCCAAATGGGCACCACGCCATCCGGCTCGATTTCCTCTTTCGATACGACTTCAGTCAGGTCTTCGGCACGGTATTCACCCCCTTCGATCTCTGCCAACTTCTTTTCGACGAATTCTTTCGAAGGGTAAATCTTGTCCTCCAGATGACCGTACCTCTTCTCCATTGCCGATCGCATCGCTGCCCATTCCCCTGCTACCACGGGCCTTGACCACTGCAACGTGTCGTACTCGGCGTCCACCTCTGCTGCACGTTGACTCCTCGTCTTGGCATTGCTGAAGGCACATGTGATCGCAGCGACCTGTACCCTCTCATCCAACGACCTGTAAGTTACATTGGTGGCATTTAGCCCCCAATTGGTAGCATTTGGCTCCCACCCACCCTCCCACATTCCCACATAACTTGGCTCCACTACCATCCATGGCCACAATGCCAACTGGCCAGGATCACAGCAAAGTAAGTCAATCACTAATAGCAAAGAGAGCCAGTGCCAGTGCGGCCATCTGAGCATGGCAGTATTTGCTTGGAGCTTTGAGCCATGTCCAGAATACTCTTAGCTTGGCAGAGTTTGCTTTGATGTTTGAGCCCTGTCCAGAATACCAAACTGTGGAAAAGAAAAACGAAAAATGTTTGGGGCGCAGAAGTCACACAGTAATTACACACCCACCCTCCCAGATTTCTCGGATCCATGGGTGACACTTCTCCTCAGCCTTGTGCACATGAGTGCACCTCATGTGTTCTCACAACCTGGGCCTTGAGGTCCTCCACAAGTTGAAAGAACCTGGAGAGATTGGCACATCTCCCAAAGTTCATCGGGTTCGATCGGGTTTGAGGTGATATTGTTCCAATCTTCCAAACTTGCCCAAACAAATTCAAAGTTTCTTCACATAGGGTTCACTGGGAGATTTAAGGCACCTCTTCTTCGTCGCAAGGGCGTCGGGATCGATCCACCTCACAGGTGGTGGTAGCACACTCTAGTTTTTTTCAGTGGACACGTTTGGAGACTTGCACTGACTGGCTCTCAGCCTTTCACGTCGCCTTGCATGGAACCCGAAGGTGATCAGAACATATCACACAGACCTTACAATTTCACAAGGTCTACAAACAAACACTATATATAAGATACAGTTACATACACTATATATACACTATATACGGTATACACAATATATACATACGATATATACATAAGATATAGATGTCGGCCGGTCGATGCGACGATTCGATCCTGTGAAGCCTGCGATCCTGGCGAAGGAGACCCGGCCTGGGCGTGGGTAGATTTTGTGCTCTATGAGGTATGTAGCACTCAACTATGACTCCCTCAGTTGGTGTTGCTTCTCAAGTTCGCACACCCTCCACACGTTCTTTCATGTTTTTTCCACATTGATCCCTGCAGCATTCTCCCCAATGCAACAGGTAAAGGAACTCTAAGTGGCACATAGTGGCACCGCTGACTGGGCAAAACTGTTTTGAGCTACTTTGAGGGGACAGATTTGAAACAACACTGGTTTCAGAAGGTGACAAACAAATCAAAAGGTGGCCAACAGCTAACTGGACACCATTTGACAATCGTTCATTACATAATACCCAATCAGCGCTGCACTCCAAGACGGGTGCTCATGATCTCGGCCCTAGTGTCGCTTTCCATCCAAGCTTTGCAAGCTGCACGGAAACGCTCTTGAGACTTGGGCAAACCACTTGCCTCAATCCACTCAGTGATAAACTTCTCACGGATCTTGGCCATTGAGGAGGCTACAGCTGGTGTTGCAGCAGCCGCTGGAGAAGGAGCCACTTCTGGGTCGATGCGAGGTTGGTCATTAGACTCTGGTTTCTCAGCAGCACGAGGAACTCCCTTTGAAACCCACTCTTGATGCCATTTGCGGCTGTTGATTCGAGCCAGCTCACGTTTCTGTTCCAAGCGTTTTTGATCCTCACTGATCAACTCTGGAGTAAGCTCCTCCACAGTGTCAGAGAAGTTGGTCAGATCCTTGGACTTGGACTCATGTTCCTTGATCTCGTTTTCATTCGGAACAGGAGGTTGTGGGGGCTCTTGAAGAGGTTCATGATGCTGGTAGGGGTCCTTGTGAACTCCCAATGCCTCACGGGCAGCACTCTGGGCACTTTGTAGTGGGGAACCAGAAGGCGCCTGTGGATCAAAAGGTTCTTGGGAATCCTCCCACAAACCACACTCACGAGTGATCTCGGCGCTACTCTTCATGCGGTTCAGGACAGGGCGTGCCATCTTCCTTTTTGGCCTGAGGAGAAGCGAGGTGACGTGGGTTGACATGAGGGTTGGAGAAAAACCGATATTTATATATATATATATAGATATATATGTTTGAATATACTTCACATGTGAGAATATACTTCACATGCATCAGAGTGACGATTCTGGTGCTTCCAGTGAATCGTCAACCCCAACTGGCTTCGCAAGCGAAGGCTGCAAAGATCCAATTGTGAAAGTAGTTGGAGTAGGGCGAGCGGTATTGTGAATGAGGAAGTGGTGCCGCTTTTTTTGAGAGTCCACTGAATGAGTCATGACCTGAGGGTTCAGCTCATACTCCATGATCTCATCATCATCCACCACAATTTGGGTGGACAAGCTGGTCATTGTTCCACACTAGGTCACTAGGTGACACGCGAGGACCAGGCTAGACTTTGATCAAAAGCACTGAAGAGAGCAGGAGATTGAGCTTGTTTAAGCAAACAGGTGGTGTGAGAGTCAAAGGCGCTGCAAGGAAGTTTCAAACATATCAACAAATGGAACTGGTGTGAGACACACTGTTCAAAAGCTTCAAAAGATGCCACCATAAATGGTATGAGAGAGACGGTTTCAAAAGATGTCAAGAGAAATGGTATGAGACTATGAGACACATTGCAACAAATGCCCTAAAAAAGTCGGCATAGACTGTGAGAACCACTAGTGTACTGTTGATGCACAATGCACAGGAGCTTCAAAAATGTTTCCCGAAAAACTATAGTTGAATGAGGAGTAACCCAAACAACATTTTCTTCCCTCAACACTGGCTCTCTGAAATGCGCAGCATGGATATCCAAGGATATCACTTACGCTCAACGACCCCCGTGTGTGATTTATCACACCAAGAAAGATTCAACAGGCAATGGCCTCGCATCGCCTTGAAGCCCCGCCAAGAAAATGCCAGTCTGGCATGTCACACCAGGCGCTTGCATCCGCCTTTGGGAAGCTCCAGGTTGTGAGGCAAGTGGTACAAGGGCTTCGCTGGTGCAATGCATTTCTCATTTGCCCAGAAGCGCAGCCGCCAGACCTGACAACACAAAAGTCTGCCAGCAAAAGTCTATGAAACATTCAATGAACAAAAGGGACGTCAACCAAGCACCAAGCAAATTGCCGATAAACATGTTTCAAGGCACCACATCCAATGGGCTGTTCTCGAGCAGGCTCCACGAAAATGCAGACGCCAAGTTCGCCGCCTTGAGGTTCTTCGTTGGTACTGCGTTTGGCTTCCATGCCAATGTATTCGCTGCATCTGCCTTGATCTCAAAGCAATCAGCCTCACGGCCTTGCTGAACACTGGGCGGCCTGGTGCACAAATTTCCGCCTAAAGTATACTCAACATAGCCTTTTGCCTCATAGTGCTGCAATGCCTTCCGAAGTGTCATCACAGCACTGTCCACCTGATCCTCCTCCATGGAAAGAAGGCGGAAACAGAATGTACAAAACAATTCAAAACACCTATTCAACACATGTTTCTTGTGAAAGGGATTGCGCAACCCGTGTCCTCGATGATGACCAGCGCCTGATCTGTGCTCCAGCAGCATGGGATGGCTTTTCCCGGCTGCTCTCGCAAGAGCTTATCCGCTTTGTCAGCCAGCAGCCAAGTCCCTGCGCCGTGCGAGATCAATGCAGTGTCACTCTTCTTCAAAAGCACTGCCTCCTTGGCGTTGATGAACAGGCATGGTCCCGGTGCAAGCACAAAGGATGTGGAAGCATCCACACCTGCCACTTCTGTCAAATCGTCACCGTATTTGCCCTTCAAAGCCTCATAGGTTGTTGGCTCACCTGGGAAGTAGCCATCCCAGAAGTCCTTTGCATCAGTCGCAAGAGCTTCACTGCTGGTTGCTGAAGCTTCTTTCCCACCCACAGGATCAGGAATGGCAACTCCCCAGTCTTGGTCAAATTTTTTGAGTGTCTCGCGCCAATCTGGTCCCCATACGGGGCATGTGAGAAACGCTTTCCTCACATCTTGGGGGATCACCATTTTCCCCCCCACCACTTGGCATAGCTTGAGATCGGGTGCACTTGGTGCAGCTGGGAGATCTTCCTGGGCAGGGCTGCTCTTGTAGCGCGGCGTGGCTTTGTCCATAGGTGCACGGCCAGCTTTCCAGGCCTGACAACTGTTCCAAAACCAGCAACAACCAAACACAAATGAATCTGTGGGTTGAACCATTGAACACCACATGTTTGGGGTCTCTTTCAAAAAACCCCACCTCCAACAGGTGGGTCTTAATGATTTCCTTGCCACAGTTGTGGCTGGGAGGCTGCCCTGATGATGACACAACAATGAAGCCAGAGCGGACGCCAGCGAGCTCAACGCACCCGTCATATAGAGTAGGATGAACCAGCACTGCGGCATGAAAGTTCTTCCTGCCACCTGCAAGGGTTCCCAATTCGAACGGGCACCAACCACAGCAGCTGAAGGAACACATTTTTTGGACAGATACCCAACCTGTCAGCGCATCGAAGATGGATTGACAAACCGGTACGCCACCCATCCACTGCGCTGTCTCCTGAAGGTCTGTTAGTGACCGTCTTGAGTCGTGCGACAAGAAGGCCTCGCCTGGCACGATGAAGTTTCGCTCTTCCAAAGCTTTGGGGAATGCATCTGGCTGCAAGCTTTGGCGAAGCCAAAGACTGCTTCCGCAGAACCTGAAATTGGCCGCTGACGCCAGCAACCCAACAAGTGATGGTGCCAGGAAAACATTTGGAATATCAAAAACTTTACTGCGCCCAAAAATGATCAAGAAACACATTCATCTCAGCATCTGGTGCAGGCGCGCCGCGCACTGATCTGTGAGCTGTGCCCTTCAGCGGAAGTGCACTGTCTGGCACCCCAAGCCACACTGGAAACGCCCCAGGCATCTCCCTGTTGCCATGGATCTCTTGCAAGTTCAAGTTGATGCACACCGTCCGTAGTTCAATCTTGCAAGCGAGAAGTTTATTCTCGATTTTCCTGGCTCAACCCACTCAGGCAGCTTGTGGTTGAAAAAAATCACCCCTTGAGACAATCCAACCTGTGGTTGAAATAAAAGAAATGTGAACGCAACCGAACCCCCGAACCCACTCCTGAAGTCTCCACGGAGTGATCCTCCACTCTCGCTGCCGACCAGGAGAGGTGGAATCAAGACCAGCACAGATCCTAGATTGTGCTTTATGTGTGGGACGAGAAACCAAGTTCTTTGAGTGGCTTTCATTTTGGCGCAACAAAAAACTTAGCACCAGGCGCTGGGTGTTCCGGAACAAGATCTTTTCTGCATAGTCTCCGATCAAATTGATCTCTGCCTGGCTGAGCACACCCAGCTTGGTGCAATCAAAGTACAGGATGCAGTCCACATCATTTGGAGCGACCTGAAACAGGTTGAAATGGGTTCAACTTCACATCATTGAGGGAACATATTAAACATCCATGGGAACCATTGAGGGCCAGGAAAGAATTCTTGTTTCAGCACCACACCTTGCGGCTTGCAGCTGCAGCACGGATGAAGCTGTCCAAGCCAGTGTCAAAGCCATCCTTCTTGGTGACAAGGCTGACTCTGCAATGCTTCTCCATGAAGGCCTCGCAGAGCCTTTGAGCAGCGATGGCTCAGTGTTGTTCAAAGTGAACAAAGAGCAAAACCCTTGGGAGAGGGCACACCACAAAAAACAAACAATATATACCAACAAAAAGGCAAAACTGAGGAACTGCTTTCCCACTTGCACTTGAGCTTTCTGGTGCATCACATTGACCACATGGTTGCGCCGGCTCGACTCGCTGGACGCAGTGTTGAAAGCAGTCATTGATGCAATGTCTTGCGAGAGCTTGGCTGAGACTTCCCTGTAGCGGGCTGCCTGGGCCTGGTCCTCCATCTCGACAATCTCCACTGCTGAAGCCACTCCTGATGGTCCAGCAGGAGGCTCAACCAGATCCACCCAAAGGGACAAGTGCTGTGGCTTCCAGGAGCTCAGCTTGGCAGTCACCGCAGCCTCGATCTCTGCTGCATAGTCCCTGAGATGGGGCCACACTTCAAAGGAAGTTCACAGAAAATCAAGGGAGTCAACTGAAAAGAATACCAACCCTGGCTGTCTTTAAAAGTATACCAACTGAAAGAAGCAAAGCCAAGAATCCGTTGGAAGAAAGCTTTCGCCATGGCCTGCTCCTTGTCTTCATTCCAGCTTGCCAGCAGCCGAGCTTCTTCCCAAACATGTGAGAACACACAAGCAAAGTCGCAGATCAAGTCAAACTGGGCACTGCTAAGTCTAGCCCTGGCCCTTGCAGAAGCTCTCAGCCGACGGCCCTGGTCCAGAAACATCTTGATGACCAATCTCAAGTGAAGAGCCTGACTGTGGGGTGTGACTGTCAGGCACTTGCGCAGCTCTGGAGGGCATGCCGAAGCCTTTGGACTTGCGGTGAGCATCCATCTTGATCCTTTGAACTGCTCAGTACTAAAGGCCGACTGAGCCCACTTGTGGGCATCCAAGTGGTTCCGAATGACCTCTCGAGACTCCTGAGTTTTGCAATGGATGGGTCCGAGTCCAAACATTGGTGGGCAACATCTCAAACAAACAGTACAAATATTCAGACAAACTATTCAAGCAAATGCCAGACACCTCACTGGTTCCACTCAAGAGATTGAGAACCGCCCGGAAGCGATCCTCTTCGATCCGATGTTTGGCTTGCAGCCCTGGCGACTGGTTGAACTCGGAGACCGCATCTTGCAAGCGTTGTTCCGTGGACATCTCTGCGTGATGCTTTCCTTCCTGCTCGTAGATTTCAAGCACACGGGAAAAACGAAGAGCAAGCTGAAGGGCACTCGGCGCTTGCCTCTCTGCTCCCCTGAAGCTCAAAGTTATATTGCGAAAGCTGCGATGAGTGGCCCCCATATTGAAAGCAACCTGGGCATTGTTGAAAAGTAGCCCACTAGTGGCAAAGTCTTGTGGGAAAAGATAGGAAAAGATAGGAAAAGATGCACTGTTGACTTGAGGCTGGGCACATGCACTGGAATCATCCAGGCCTTGTCAAGCACTGGAAACAAAGGCTGGAGAAGCTGAGCGGACTGCGGGTCCGAGAGATCCAGCTCTGAAGCTGCCAGCAACACAGTCATGACCACAGAAGAACGGGTCCACCCCTTGATTTGGTCAATGCACTGATGAGCCAATGGACGGCATGTATCTGCAGGGAATCACAGCAACCATTAAACAAAAATTGTCCACACCATTAAACACAGTAACATTTGGCACACCCCAATCCTTCTGCAAAGTCAAGTGACACGTCCAATGGCTCACGGCACTCCTCCAAAGACCATTGATTCGAAAGTGGAAGCCCAGTCTTCTGTGACCGGGTAGCCGTCCTCTGGAGGGCAGAACCTGATGAATAAGATGTCCAAAAAGATATCAACAGAGTAATTAACCCAAAAGAAGACAAAAGACTGACCAACAAGTGAAGCAGTTTTGAAGATCGAGAAAGTGACCGCAGATTCAATCTTCGAGATCCAAAAAGTAATTTGGAAGTTTCTCTATTCTGACGTTAGTCATGGTTGGCAGCACCCACAACCCTGTGGCGATAGGCTCTCAGACTTGACGGTCACAAACCAAAATGCTTATTATTTGGCAGACTGAGAGGCTTCAGGCAGGTGATTGGAACCTTGATGGTCTCATCCTTCATTGATGGGTCCACTACCTGATTGCAGCCGCCGACTGGCTTGCAAAGAAATACCCAAACCCGAAAACCAGTTTCTGGTTATTGCATGGCAGGTTCACTTTGGGAAGTTGTGGTGTTGCAGGGAGAACGCCAACACCAAAAAATCAATGATATTTCTGCTTAGACACCACAGATTCTGGTTTCTTGAAGAGGTAACTCATGTTCCGCATCTTGGCATAGTCAAAGTACCACCCTTCCAACTGTGTGCAGTGAAGGTGGTTGTGTTCTGCGCTGTCACTAGCAAAGATCTCAGCAATCAGTGCTGCAGGGTGCTCACCAGGCGTCGCCTGCTCACCACGAAAGGAACCCACATACTCCAGAAGATCCTGGTGAGACTAAGCAGGTGGTTGGGGTCAAACCTCCCATTGATCAAATGTACTTAGGACGGGATCTATATAAGTTTAAAAGTGATGAGCCATGAAGAGTGTTGGCAAAGGAATCAAGTGTCCTTCACTGTTTGCAAGTCACCTGACATCTTTGCCAGTTGCTTCTCATACTGGTTGCACATGCGCTTGGCAGGACGCTCTGTGGCATCCTTTTCTTCTTCCTTCTTCACCAACTTAGCACGCTCCTCGGCCTTCGTTTTGAACGGTGTCACTGCCATGATGGGCGCCGAACAGCGACACCTTTGATCCCAAAAGTGACTGTAAGAACACGGTTTGATCTCCTTTGAGTCCACTGATCTCACTTTCAGGATCTTGATTCTGTTTCAGCTGACTGGTCAACAACCAGTCCACCGATCCTTTATTTAAAAAATATGAGCTTCAATTTTTATGTTAGATTTTAAAAAAAATTGAAGCTCGGATTTTTGTCCAATTAGTTTCAGCTGACTGGCCCACAACCAGTCCACTGATCCTGTTCATGGTTCTTAGATAAAAATCAATTGACCCAGATGAGATGAAACCATTGCAACTCCCCTTCCAAACCCCAAATGAAGACCTTAGAAGCTGGGGTTGACAGACCTCAAAATCATTGAAAATCAATCGACTCGTTGCCAACCAGTCCACCGAAACCTTCTGCCACGGACCCCTGGGTGCACCGAAAACAGTTGACTGACAATGGGCGGTGCACCGAAAACTGCTGACAGACCCCCAGCGGTGCACCGAAAACCGCCGACCGACCCCCAGTGGTGCACCGAAAACTGCCGACCGACCCCCAGTGGTGTCCTGAAAACTATCGACCGACCTTGAGTGGTGCACCGAAAATTGTCGACCGACCATCTCTGGTGCACAAAACTGTTGACCCACAAGTGGTGGTGTAGGAAAGCCGGTGTTCCTGCAAGTGGTGGTGGTGGTGTTGGTGTTGCCCTGAAAGTGGTGGTTGGATGAGAATATATGAGATTCAAAGAATTGTGGTCAAGACTCCATTGGAATAGGAAGTCCACTGTATTGACCCCCCTCCCTTCATCTCCCCACTGGGCTGTTTGTTGCTGGACTGGAGCTGAAGTCTCTTGAGCGCCTTAAGCGCACACAGTCCAATCTGTGTTCTGGTCCTATGCTTGGTTTCGGCTAAATACTGCTCTAAGAGGAATTGCTGGGGCCAATGCATTTAGCACCGCCTGGTGGAGTATGTATCTTGGAGCCCCCATGCCCTGAGGTTGGGCATGCTGGGTGTGAAACGGCATGTCCGGAAACTCAGCAGCTGTCCAGAAAGCGTTGGCTGCCAAACTCTCGAGATAGACCACACTCCTGTCGTACTGGTGGCCATAGTAGAAGTGAACCGCTTCTGCCAGCTTGGTCATCGCTGTCGCCCATTGGCGAGAATGGTTGTTGGGCCACCTTGTGAAATTGAGGCTTCTACTTCAAATGGTTTTCGGGAAGCTTCACCCTATTGTTGATCTAAAATTTGGTGGGTATTAAATAACCTGAACGGGATCCCATCTATTGAGAGAGCTGAGAGGACTTGACAAACATTTAGGTTCATTAGTGGTTTGTTGCACAAACTTTCATTAGACACATCTGAGCGACTTCTCCTGTGGAACCATCTGTAGTGCGCTAGCTCGGCTCTGTGTTAGGACCAGCATTGGCGGCTGTGATAGATCGGAATCGCAGATGTGCTTTTTGATCAGTGAGATGACGTCGTGTGGGTGGGCCACCCCACGGTAGCTGCCTGGGTTCACCATCGACTTGAAGGTGTCTGGAAGATCTCAGGGCCGGGGTTCTCAAATCAACCATGGTTACCACATGTTACAAACTCTTGACAAGTGGGTTCTCCCTGTGAACATGTTGTTTTAAAGAACCCTGTCTCCTCGACGTTGTAAGCACAGAAACATATGATTTCCGGACTCATCTTTGAGCAGCCCCCCCTCAAGCTTCACGCCAGTCGAGGGCAAGTGCGATCGCCAACTCCTGGTGGCGTTGAGTTTCTTGACTGAAACCTGTGTGGTGTTTCCGATCCAATCCCGGATGGTGGGCTTCGAAAGTTCTGAGGAGATCGCATCGATCACATCGGTGGGATCCAATAGGCCACTTTCGTGCGCCACTCTGCGTGCGATTATCCCCCACAGCTGATCTTAGCTTGGCTTGCCTTTCAAAAAATGGTATGCTATACTGCTATACCCTATGTTAAAAACAGAAACCACCACAGGAAGAACAAGACAGTTTGCTGAACTTTAGTCAGCTGAAGGTCCCACCCGGCAGTGGGTGTGGCTCTTGCGGAGGTGGCAGAGGCAAGCACTGCGAAACAAATGCTTGGCCACTGCCAAATGGATATACGTGAGGAGGTATTGGTTCTTTGCCTCGCGGACTGTGTTGTCCGCCTGATATGTGGATGTTTTGTTAAAGACAAACACCCCTTGGCAAAGCCTATAAGACAAACAGAACAATTAAGTCATTGTCATTGTAAGCGGCGTTGATCACCAGGGTGGTCGGTCGGGGACGGTGATCCCGATCACAGATGCGCATGACCTTGGGTGTTGTGGTGTGACAATCCTTGCTTGTTTATAGGTTCATTCAGGACTACCCTTCCCTGAGCAGCTTTAACGTCGATGCGGCTAGGTAGAATGCTCAAAACTGTTGCAGAAGCAAGACCAAGATACATCCTCCACGGCTTGGGAGATCATTTCTATTATTGCGCTGCTGTCATGGCGGCTACAGTCGTCAAGGATCGATATGTTCAATGTGTACCCATAGCACCATACCCCGTGCACCTTCAGCCGAGGACGCTGGTGCTTTGCCCTGAGAACAACGGACCAGGCAAGTGGTGGTGTGTTGGTGAAGCTGTTGTTGTGGGGCGGCGCCAGAAGGTTACAAAACAAAAACTTTAAGATACTTAAGCAGCACTGAATTCTACCTAGCATCAATCCTGCGTTTGCTCGAAGTTGTGGGTCGCGTGGCAGGGCAAATTTAGCTTGATCTAAGCCGTCTGTGCAAATCATTAGGATTCCAGAGTGTTGATCGGCACCTTCAAACTGAAGTGTCCAAATCGTGGTACGGTCACAATATTGATCATGTAAATGGGCCCTGTATCCCTGCAGACACCCCAGCTTTTGTTCAAAAGTGAGTTTCTTGTCCTGCAACTGTGTTTTGAAAGCGCAGCATACTTCACAAGAAGTGAATAGGGATTGAGATCGAAATCGAAGGATGTCTTGCCAGCGCTCCTTGTAGACATGGTTGAATGTTGTGTACCTGAAACATCTGTAAACTCTTGGCGTTCCAAAGTATAATAGACATTTCGACTTGGGAAAACATCCATACACAGTGTAAGGCCCATAAAACACACGTTTAATTGAATCCAAGGTGAGGTACGACACTGGCTTTCCTCCAAGCATTTGCTGGGTAGCCTTGTACTCTTCAAAGAGTTCCATCACATTCCCTGGTGGTAGGAACTTCCGCACAAGAACCTGATTGGGAAGAAGTGTACTTTTGGCAGATGTGGTTGACAACCACTCACGCATCTCCTCGACATTTTCAACGTCAGAAGCCACTTCTTCAGACCCTGAATCACCATCACTATCCAGATCAGATTTCTTCTTCTGGGAAGCTCTGCCACGTCTGATGAACCTGCAGCTGTAGATTATATATGAATTTGTTTGTTTTGTTTCAAGAAGCCCAGTCGTAGAGATGATCAAAACCCAACCACTCACCTCCAAAAGATCTTAATGTAAAAAACAATCCGAACCCATGGATGGTATGGCAAGAAACTCATCCGGCATTGTTTCTGCCACTGAATCGTACGCTATGCGAAGAAAACCATCAACACTCCATGTAGACGGTCTGCTCATGTAGGGACGAGTGCCATGCCGCAGGTCTGGGGTGCTTGTGGTCCCTTTGCGCAGCCGACCAGTGCCCACACCCAGCAATGCCGCAAGACACTTGAAGCCAACTGGTCGGTCAAGAAGGGTGAACTGCTTGTCTCTAGACTCACTGGTGGTGGCTAAGCAAAGCTGAACCTGGGACGGCGCCA